TTAAAATCTGTTATTTTAGAAAATTACAGGAGTTAATGGTCTTATGACTCAGTTATACTGCAGCAGAGTGGAATTATTATCATTTCGTATCAGAGAGACACGATACCACAAAATCTTTATTTTAGTGTGAAATGCAATGAACAAGAAATCATGAAACTCAACTTATCTTCATTGTTGGTAACTGGAAATTATATGATTAACAGTGAGGCATACTTGTTTTAGAAGGAAAAACAGATGAAAGACAAAATAATTTGAATTTTTTAGAATTAGCATTGTGTATTTACCACCACTGTGAAGTATACACCTGTGTTATTTAAATATGTAGTCTATTGGTCCAATTTGATTTTTATTGGTAAAGATTTATTTTCATATAACTGAGATAACTGACAAAACAATTTTTTAAAAGTAAAATAATATTTTTTGATAAGATGTTATTATCCAATTGTATTGAGGTACTTAAATTTTCAAAAAAAATTTGTTTGTATCATGTAGTAACAGGTTAATTTTTAACTAGAGAAACTACAATTCATGAAAGATAAAAATGGTATGTAGGAGTCTCTGAGAAGCTGGCAAGAAGCATCAGAAACATTCAGAAGAATCAAGTATACAGAAAACAGATGTGAAGACACAGTAATAAGTCAGTCTAACTAAGAATTATATATCCACAGAGGCAGACACTGAAGACAAGGGGAAAGAACATCTTTTAAAATTGTACCCAGCACAACTTCAGACAATATATTATACTGCTATATTATACAAACAATAACAAACAAATGACGAGCTTTGTAATTTTGGCCCTCTAAGCTTCAAATAGAGCCAAAATAGAGTCGAATAGAGTCAAAGCTTCAAATAGAGTCACCAAAAAATAATGGCAATCAAAGACAAAATTTGGTTCAGAGAAGTTTTCATGAATGATGAATAATAGATTATTACAGGAAATTAAAGATGTATGGAGTTTATAAATGCCTATGAATCAGTGGTAACAACTGTTTGTATTTGTGTACAAATAATTTGCTTCTTATTGTTTATGTTGGCCATAAAAAATAGTGTCACACATGTGTCAAACATGCACTATTGATCTCACAGTGGAAAATGACCCATTGTTCCACTGCAAATATCTTTTTTTTAATTAATTAATTTTTTGTGATGACATTGGTTAATGAAATCCAGTAAGTTTCAGCTGTACACTTTAACAGTAAGGCATATATATATTTACACTGTATGTTCACCTCCCATAGTTAGATTTCTTTCTGTCACCACATATTTGACCCCCTTTATCCTGTCCTCCTCCCCGCTCCTCCTACCTCCTACCCTCTGGTAACCACTAGTCTATAGTCCATGTCCATGATTCTCTATTTGTTTGACCTCTTCATTTGTTGCTTTTAGGTTTATATCCCACATATAAGTGATATCGTGTGATTTTCAGCAAATTTCTTAAAGACTAGGAACTATTAGTCGACTGGCTTGCACTTTGATATGAAAATAATATTGTTACCTAACTCTTCATAGGGCTAAATATGGGGGGTTAAAAAACATATATAAATATAAATAAACATATTTACATAAGTATGTTATATATAAACATATATTTACATGACACATGTTTATATATAACATTATATATTTATATATAAAACATTTATCTATAAAATGTTATATATGTAAAGCTTATATATATAAAACATTATATGCTTATATATATAACATTACATGTTTATATATAAAACATACTGATACATAGGAAATGATATATATGTGCTTATTATTAATGATCACAAAGATGATGACGATGGCCATAAAAATCATGATAATGGAATATTCATAGCCTCAGAAGTCATTTAAAACACATTTCAGAATCCAAGCAGGATATTTACATTCTATTTGCTGATAGTTGATAAAATTCATTTCTGGAAGACAAAGAATCATTTTTCCCCCATGTAACTGCTTTACAACTTAATTTCCAAGTAGTGTTGAGGAGGAAAAAAACACTAAATTTAGAGGCAGAAAATAGATTAGAGCTTAACTTCCTTGTCTCTGATACCACCGCCCTCTTAGACACACACACACACAATTACTATGTAACTTTGGTCCAATTACATCATTTCTTTGGTCTTTGGATTCTCCTTCTACTGACTAAAGTTTAAGATAAATGAACTCTACTACATAGGCATCTTGTGAGAAGTACTGAGATTCTGTAGGTATGAGTTGTCTTCAAAGTATTACATAAGTGAAAGGTGTAAATACTGCTTTTGCTATCAATTGAACATATTCCTTTTTGGACAGACCTCCATAGCATTCATATGTTCTATTTTATTTTCCCAAGTTAGGAAAATATGCACACGCATATTAAAAACATACTGCCACACCACTAAGACTAAAAGGATAGAGCTCTTTCTCTATTTCTATTGTCCCCTTATTTTCATGTAGACAGACCCCAGGCACGTACTAAATATTCAATTAATGTATTCTGAGTGAATTAATACAACTTTATTGGAAATAGGGCAAAAAGATAAATCATACAAAATTGATTTCAGAATGCTCAATGCTCCATAAAGTTTCAAATAAAGGACAAATTCCACAATGGTACTATCCTGTACAATGTTACTATCAGGCAACAAATTTTGTGATAATTTCAACATACTATTTTGGCAGGTAAAGTACATGTATAACTTGATTTTAACAAATACTCCCTGTAACAGAAAATTCATTAAAAGATAAAATACACTGCATTATTTGGTTATTTATTTAATCATATTTATTACATGTGTAATATGCATAGGGATAAACAACTGTAAGGTGGCAATTATCTTCAAGAAACAGCCTAATAGAAGAGGAGCCATGGGCATATGTATTTACAATAAAAATTAGAATGAGAGCATTTTAACATATAGGACAAACACTTTGTAGAAGTTAGAGAGTTAACTACAGGCATGTAGGAATAACACAGTATTTTATCTCAGTGAGGTCTTAATAAATATAGTTAGGGGGAAAATATTGGAAATTATTTTGAAGTGAGATGAACAGTGATTGGGAGTATAAGTCATTCTTATAAGATATGTGTAAAATATAAGGCTGGAAAAGTTTTGAAAAAAACAGATTTCAATCATACAGCATCGAGTTTATAACCCAGGTCACACAGAGTTCTAGAAATCGCAAACGAAGGCAAGAATGGGTCAGACTTGTGCTTATGAAGGACTCTGTGGTTGTCAATGGGCAAGAGGCTTGTTATAGAAAACTTAGAGTAAAATCAGTTTGAAGTCCACACTGGTGCGTGCACTAGGGGATATGAAGAGGGTCAAGCTTTCAGTCCCTCAGCCAGGAAATCCATGAGTCAAAACATAAAGAACCTTTTATTACCAGGCACGTTACTGAGTATCGGGGCTAGAGCAATAGAGGAAGAGACAGAGAAAGCCAAATATTAAACCAATGTGCATACAAATAAACACGAACTTTATATAGCAATAAAAACTAAGGAATGTTAGAGATGACTAAAGGTCTGTTAACAAAAATAAGAATGTAAGGAGGAGGAGGCATTTCTAGGGAGTTTAGCTTATTTTTGTTGAATTTGAGCCATTGCCAGGGTTTTGATGTGGAAGTGTCACCCAGGCTCTGGGGAAGTTTATACCTAAGCTATAGATGTGTAGGTCAACTGCATAAAGACAACTGTTGAATCCACTGTAACTGATGTGCTGAGAAAAATAACTAGAAGACAAAAACTGGTGAAAAGAACATGGGTATTTAACTCATGATTGAATTGGCAAATGCTTTGTTTATAAATCTTCTTTTCTGGTCTAAATCTACTATAATAGGCTTTGTTCATTTGTAAAGAACTGATTTTTCCATTTTATAAAATTGTAGTTTCAAAAAATAGTAATATTAGCATGGGGATCTCTTTTCTTACAGTTGAAAGAAAATTTACAAAAGGATGTTATATCTCTTCATTATAGAACTGCCTATGCTGTAAAATAAGTAATGCAATACAAAAGAATCTACAAACAACAAATCAGAGATTGGTTGGGAGTCACATAAAAGTTCTTTTCAAACATCTAAAAATAAATAAACGTGCCAAATTCTCTTAGAGGACTTCACTGTTGCAAAATGGAATTCATTATTTTTACAAGTACTTTTCATTGGACAAAGATTAACGTCCAGTAACATGCAGAGCTCTAAAGGTTTTGCTTAACTTTCAAATTCACGTTATGCTGCCTTTTTTTTTAAATAAAGAAAAGTAAACAACTAAATCATAATTTTTCTTTAGAACAACATTTAACGTATTTTTATTATACAAAATTCTTCTACAAAGTGTAATTAATTCATTATTGACATTTCATAGCTGTTCATTATAAACAAAACCCTCAGAATTTGTTGATGACTATAAACTATTAGTATATATAATTATTTACTCAAAACTGCTGAGCAAGAATGAAAACTGCAATACTGGATAAGTAACACCCATAGGTATCAAAATAGAAATTCTTTGCATTGAAATCTATCAGTACTGTCATCTCATATAGAATCTAAGAGAGGTCATAAAAAAACATAACCTAAAGGAATATTCTTTTGTTCTTAATGAGAAGGGAAAGCATATTCTATTTTTCATATAATTATGTAAAATGAAACATAAATAAAAGAAATGAATGAAAGATGGCAGACCTTTTTTTGCAGCTTGTAAATAAAATATTTTATTTCATCAGCTATCTCTCCAAAAAACTAAGTCTTGATGACTTGAGCATTCAGAAAAACAAAATCTACTTCACTTACTAACATTTTTCTGAATTCACTGAATTTGTTTTCTGACATTTCACTCTATTGGCAAACTCTCTGTTCTTTTTGTAAAAATCTATTTATATATTTTGGGGAAAAAAATAACTCGAGAAACTAAAACTGGAATCAGCTATACCACAAAATGACATCAAGATTTACTTTTTACATATCTGACATTAAAGAAGTACAGATGTAAGTTAAGATACTCAACAATATCAATGTAAAGTCTGGCTTACCAGCAGGGACAGAATTGGAGTGCTGAAGTTTCAAGTGACTAGAATCACCGGAGAGTTCAGTCAAAGAGGTTAAGGTAAAATCTGAGTTGGAAGCATGCTCATGTCTGAAGCCTTCAGAAGAAAGATAATCCAGTTCAAACTTCACAGTTGACATTGCGAAATTCATTGAGAGCTATGCAAATCAAAGTTCACACTACTGAAGTTTTAAAAATCATAGGAGGGGGGAAAACACTCTATTAATAACTCCAGGCTTTCCAGTAATTATTTTTCACTCGGAAATCCAAAAGAGAGCAAACATGCAGAGCTGATTCTCTAAGTTTTCTGTATTCACGCCTTTCCTAGGCAATTGACTTCAATAAGATGGATGAATTTTAGAATTGTTTTTCTTGAGGATATCTTGCTGCCTTTAAATGATAGCAGCACTAAGTCCATCTCAGAGAGGCTGCAGTGAAAAGTAAAATGAGCTAAGTGAAGACATAGGCAAGCCTGCACAGAGATGCTTTTTGTAACTTGGTATTAGAGGTTCACATTCACATTTCTGTATACAAAAGATCAGCTGGGTGGGGCTAAGGACTGTCAGAGAATACAACTTTATTCTACTGGGCAGCTCATTGGAAGAATGTTTTAATTTGGAAGGAAATTAATCTGGAATGATATTTCCTGGGTTGAGATTGTTAGACGATAGTCCTGCTGCTTCCAGAAAGATGACTATGATTGTGGAGATTAAAAGTTGAATTAAACTAAAAAGCTTATGCACAGCAAAAGAAACACTGAAGAAAATGAAAGGCAACCTACAGGAAGTGGTATATGTAAATCATATATCTAATAAAGAGTATATGTAAATCATATATCTAATAAAGAGTTAATATAGTATATATAAATCAAAATATATAAGGGACTAATATAGAGTTAATATCCAAAATATATAAGGGACTAATATAATTCAATAACAAATAAATAATCTGAGATTTTAAATGGGCAAACAACCTGTATGTCTTCCAAATGGCCAACAGGTACATGAAAAGCTCAACATCATTAATCATCAGGGAAATGCAAATTAAAACCACAATGAGGTATCATTTCACACCAGTCATTATGGCTGTCATCAAGAAATCAATAAATAACAAGTATTGGTGAGGATGTGGAGAAAAGGAAACCCTCATTCACTGTTGTTGGAAATATAAATTGATGCAGCTGCTATGGAAAACAGTACAGATATGACTCAAAGAATTAAAAATAGAGCTGCCTTATGACCTAGCATTTCCACTTCTGGGCATTTATCTAAAGAAAAGAGAACACTAATTCGGAAAGGTATGTGCACTCCTCTATTCACCTTAGCCATTACTTACAATAGCCAAGATATAGAAGCATCCTAGGTGTCCATCAATAGATAAATAGATAAAGAAGATATCACACTCACACACACACAGACTCTACAATAAAAAAGAATAAAATCTTGCCATTTATGACAACATGAATAAACCTACAGGGTATTATGCTAATATAAAAAGTCAGAGGAAGGCAAATGCTGTATATTTCACTTATATGTGGAATCTAAAAAAAAAAATGAAACAAATGAATAAACAAAACAAAACAGAAACAGACCCATAGATACAGAGAACAAGCTGATATTTACCAAAGAGGAGGGCTGGCATGGGGGGATGAGTGGGGAAAAAAAAGTAACAAGTGTTGGCAAGCACTGGAGAAAAGTGGACACTTGTACACTGTTCATAGAAATGTAAATTATTACAGCCACTATAAGAAAAAAAAAAAAAACCTTGTGTCAGTTCCTCAAACAATTTAAACCATAACTACCATATGATCTAGCAATCCCATTTCTGGGTATCCAAATGAAATAAAACCACTATCTTGAAAAAAAGATATCTGCACCCCGATGCTCACTGCAGCATTATTCACAATACCCAAGTCATGAAAGTTACCAAAATGTCCGCTGACAGATGAATGATAAACAAAATGAGATAAGGAATAGCATATTATTCAGTCATAAAAAAAAGAAAATCCTACCATTTGCAACAACATGGAAAAAAATTGAGGGCATTATGCTATTTGAAATAAGTAGGACAGTGAAAGATAAATACTGTATGATCTCACTTTTACATGGAATATAGAAGAGCCAAACTCATGGAAACAGAGAATATACAGGTGGCTGCCAGGGAGTCGGGGTGGGGGGCGAGTGGGGGCAGAAATAAAAGCTGTTGGTCAAATGGTACAAACTTCTAGTTATAAAATGGATGAGTTCTGAGGATTTAATGTACCACATAGTAACTATAGTTAACAATACTGTATTGTATATTTGAAAATAGAAGACTGTAAGACTTTTTTGAAGTCAATGAGCACTTTATCCCCTACCCATTTTATTGACATATAATTGACATATAACACTGTGTCAGACGGAGGTGTTACCTAACCTTGTTGCAGACTTCAAGTCATTAGTGAAGTATTTTCCATGATATCTTTGCTAACACTTACATTTAGCACAGTTTTCTGTAAGTCTTAGGCAATACCAGTATAGAATTTTTACTCCTGTTATCTTCCTAAAACCTAGAATGTATCCTCCATTTTTTTTTTAATTTTTATTTTTAGAGTACAAACAGAGATGGCAGGAAACACCACACAGAAACCTCCTTCCATTTGAGTGGTCCAGCAGCAAATATTTTTCTTTCAATCTGGATCAGTTTGTGTCTGTTACTATAGAAACAACTCCCTTGCTAGCAGTTACAGTAAATTCAGGTCTCTGGTCCTTCATTCATTTCAAAATATAAACTGCATTTGCAAAACTTTCTCCTTCTCAGGCATATTTAATCTTGATATAATCAGTCTTGGTTCTCTTAACAAGCAAATCTATTTTGAAAATAGCTAAATTTATTGGGAATAACTGCAATTTTAACTAGATCATAACAATGCATTTTAAACAAGTATAATAAGCTTGCTTTTTAGACAGTTTTCAGTATACTTATGAGTCCCTAAATGAACAATTGTTAGGAATATAATTCACATAATATATTTTCCTTGTCTCAGATGCTTTCCATTCCCAAACATTGTGTGAAACAATTCACTAGACATATATTTATTACTTTTTGGTTTTAGAATGACCTGAAACCACATATATCCCTTTTCTCTTCCATTTAACTAATCATTAAACTGAATATATTACCAAAGAATATCATTAAATTAACTAAAGAAATTTTAAAAAATCTAAGAGTGGCAAAAAATAAATTACCAGAAAATTTAAGAAAATTCTGGAATATATGATAGTGGTGAGTGCTGAGCAGACTGAATAATGGGCAAGTCCATGAAGTTAAAGAGGATGTTACCTAAGAATAAGTCAAGATTTTTACCAGGACAATCATGGACAAGCCCTCACCATCCCTCCTCAGGTCGGAACAGGAGACCAAAAGTAAGTCAGGTTAAGTTGCTTTGTCCCTACACATCATTCGATTTTAGCTTCACTCTAAGAAAACAAGAGAACAGTGCATAATCATTTCCTTAGTTTGATGTAAGGGAAAGATAGACAAGGGGGCATTCTCCAGCTAACTGCAGAGAGCCTCAAGAAACAGGAAAGTCAGTCTTCTCAGTAATGAAATGTTGATACACAAACTGCTTCCCCAAAATCTCCTTCCCTAATTTCCACTAACAGTTGCACAAGTTCCATACAACGGTGGTGGGAGCAGAAGCCGAGCCAGTGTATAAGTGACAGGAGTTTCCCAATTTTAACAAATTATATATACAGACTGTCCAGGAAAAGCAATTGGCATAGATTGAGCGTTAAGTAAAATGCAGGTCATTTCATGTCAACTCAAGTTATCTCTGGATCACAGAATTAAAAAAAAAAAATTGAAGAGAACAATTTAAAGAATGAATCTGAGTGATTAACTCGGACTTCTCAGTATGAATGGAAATACATAAAAAAGAAGATACTTTTGCTTTACTTTCCATAAGATTTGAAAGAATATTATATGCATATGATAAAATGAGCTGCTAGGAAAAGAGAACAGGGCAAAAAATAAGTTACTTATAATAAGTAAAAGGCACACTTAAAAATCAACTCAGTAGAAGCACTGGATGACAGGTCAACCACTGCTAAAAAGCACATTAAATTGATTAGAAAATCAACATGGAGAATTACTTTGAATATAGAGCAAAAATATTAAAGTTGGAAATTATGACAGGATAGAGAATAAAATATGTATAAAACAGAAACTCAAAGAAACAAAATGAAGCAACAATGAAAATGCAAGAAATGAAAATAAATAGGTTTATTGTGTGGACTACCTCAAATTCAAATGACTATATTAATGCCAAGTAAAGGTGCCAATATTGAAGGAAGGTACATATCTTGACGGAAGGTACATATCTTGACACCAAACCTATCTTGATATAATGTGAATTCCATGGTTACAGACACTATCTAACAAATTTAAAAATAAAGTTGGGGATCAGTGGAAGAGTGTCGTGCAAATGTGACGAAGTGGAAGAGTTCTTAGCTTCAACATCAAATGATAGAAAGATATAAAGCAAAGTTTACAGTTATCTGATCAAAAAGATCACATCTCCATAATTCAAGAACACAGAAATAATAAAACATTATAAAACAAGCAAGACTCAAAATTATGTAACTCAAGTGTTAGTTCTGAAAACATTATTTCAGGAAATACGCCAGCCAAAGCTGGGTAGAGGTGGGGATGAAGAAACAAAAGAATCAGAATAAGAGAAAGAGAATTGTAGCAAATAGTGAGCAAAAATAATCTGGTAAAATATGTACTGATGACTAAATAATTACTGAAAATTCTGTTCTGAAACAATGTAAATAATTAAAAGAGAATTTCATAATTTAAAAACCCAGATTAATTTTTTTCAAATCATAAAAATTTTTATCAATCATAAAAATATAAAACCAATTAATTAAAAGGAAACAAAAATGATGAGAAATAAAAATGGCAACAAATAAGAAAATATCAATGAATGTGGATTAAATGACCATATTAAACAGGGCCTCAGAATTTCTCCATTCTCACTTTTTTCCTTTCTCTCCTCAACTCCAACACATTTTAAATTGCATTCTGACTGCCAGGTGGAAATGTTATTTATGCAGATTGTTTCATACTAAAAAAAAGTTATGTTACCAAAAATGTT